GGGGGGGGGGGGGTGCTGGGAGGCGGTTTCCATGGTATCGCGGATCGGAGCGTGCGGGCTGCGGCGCGAGAAAGGAGAGTCCGTGGAAGTTCCTGCGGCGCTCAGCGGACGCCGGCGGCCTGGGCCCCTCTGGCTTTGGGGCAGCCTCAGTCTCCTCCGATAGGGTCGTTGTGAGGCGCTTGGCACGCGGCACAAGCTCGAAAATGTTGGCTTCCGTAACCCGTGTGCTCACCGTCCTGCCCGCAAGGAGACAAGCCTCAGACCCTGGTGCAAACCCAGGCCGTCCGGCCCCCGAGCCCATCGGATGTGGGTTCGAATCTCGACTCCGCCCGGAGGGTTATGTTGACTCTGCCCAAACTCAGATTTCCTAGATGGAAAATCAGATAATAACCAGTTCTCGGGATAGTTATGGGTATCCAGTCCTTTAGTCAGCACCGGAATAAATACCGCGTGGCAGAGTCGTGAGAACAGTGTTGTAAAGAGGTGAAAACCAAGAACCAGGGTGGCAACCTCAGGGAGGATTAACCGAAGAGACACGGGAATGAGCTTCTAAGGTTCAGACGCTGTTTACCCACTCCCTTTCTTTATTTTGAAGTTCAAGCCTTCAAGAAAAAGTTGCAAGAATAATGTATTCATCACCCATATACCCCTCACCTCGATTCACCGGTTAACGTTTTGCTGTATTTGCTCCCTTGCTCCTTTTTTTCGGAATTATTTGAGAATTAAATACACTTGACACTTCACCTTTAAATTTTAATACTTTAGCATGCTTCTCCCAAGAACAAGGGCATTCTGTGACATAATCTCTGATCACGCGCAGGACGTTTGATATTGATAAAATACTATGATCTAATGTCAGTCCATATTCAGTTTCTCCCAGTTGTCCGAAAGATGTGCTTTTTTGTTCTTTTTATTTATTTTTGGCTGCATTGGGTCTTCGTTGCTGCGTGCGGGCTTTCTCTAGTTGCGGCGAGCGGGGGCTACTCTTTGTTGCAGTGCGTGGGCTTCTCGCTGCAGTGGCTCTTGTTGCGGAGCACGGGCTCTAGGTGCGCGGGCTTCAGTAGTTGTGGCACACGGGCAGGTGGGATCTTCCTGCACCAGGACTCGAACCCGTGTCTCCTGCATTGGCATGTGGATTCTTAACCACTGCGCCACCAGGGTAGCCCCCAAAGATGTTCTTTAGTGGTCTTTTTTCTTCATCCAGGATCCAGTCAGGGATCATGCCTTGCATCAAGTGGTCCTGGCTCCGGTCTTCCCTGGAACGGTTCTCCACCTTCTTTGTGTTTCATGACATTGGTGGTTTCCAGGAGTCCATTCATGGCACAGGTGTGGTGGGAGATAATCTCTTTGAGAGCAGGGACTGTCCTTTTCAGTTCAGCCCCTAGTACAGAGCGTGGCTCTCAATAGACAGCGCTTTCTGAGTAAGTGAGTGAGGCTGCAAAGATGGACTGAGAAATTTGAACCTTGCTCTCTATGCAGTGGTGAGCGGGTGGGGGGGGGGGGGATCCAGCCATTCACTCAGCCAGCTGCTCTTGCCAGTAGGTGGACAGCTGTGAACACTTGAAGGGTCCTGCCCTCGAGGAGTTTAGAGTCTAGAGATTTAGCCTCTCAGTGTTCAGCATCGAAGAAGGCACTTAGCCCGTTCCAGGAGGTGGGGGGGAGGGGCCGGCAGAGAAAACTTGTGGAGCAGTGGGAAGGATCCCTGCCTGTCCTGTTCCCCCGCCCCTAACCTCACCTCTACACATACCTACAAAAGATCCCTCAGAGGGTCTTTATCCCTCCCAGGGTGGTGGTCTCTTTGTCTCCTTCCACCAATGCCCTCCACTTACCTACTCTTGTGACATCTGAAACTAAGGAATGTAGGTCCCTTGCTTATCTGCCTGGCCTCTACTCTGGGGTCCTGGACTTGTGTTTTTGCAGTTCCTCCTCATCTTGCTTCTACCGTGAACACTTGCTGGTAGAGTTGATACTGTCTTGGGTTCAGCTGTCACCATGTCCACTTCAGCTCTGTTTCCAGCACAGGTGGAGCCCACACAGGGCTCAGCAAGTTTATTCACATGAGATGGAGACCTTGGCTTAGCTTGTTTGGCTTCTTTACTCCTCCGCATGGGTAGAGGTATGTTTTCCAGTACCTGAAAGGGTTGCTGAGGAGCAGTGAGGGTCTTGTTGAGGTGGGCTAGCAAACCAGCAAATCAGAGGAGGGTCCGATGTAGCCTCACGAGCCTTTCCCGGTGTTGTCCTGATCATTCGTCCTGTCTCATGCAGGACAGGGGCTGGCAAGAACTTGAAGCACAGGGACGGGATCCTTTTGCATTTGCTTGATTAACCCCCATATGGGGGCAGAAATCCCTGTCTTTTTTCATTGTGTTGCCCAGACACCTAGCACACGCCTTCACGCAGTAGGCACTTGGTACATAAATGTGGAATAACTGAGTAAAGTCACATAGATGCCTCCCAAGTACCAGTCTGCCTTCATTCCCTGCTGAATTGCCATCATAATTCCTTACCTTTACTTGACCTAAATCATAACCATTAACCATTAACATTAAAGTAATGTTTCTACAAGTCACACTCCAGAGGGCCCCATTAATTTTTTAGTACAGTTGAAAAGTCACTCAGCCATTATGGAAAGTGCTAAAGGAATTAGGGTGAGCAGACCCTCTCCTTGATCTTAATTTTTTAAGATGTGAAAAGCTCTTATTTGCAGTCTTACCCACAAAGTGTTTTGATTTTGCTTCAGAGGCTAAAGGCAGCAGTTCACTACACTGTTGGCTGTCTTTGTGAGGAAGTTGCGTCGGACAAAGAGATGCAGTTCAGCAAACAAACCATTGCAGCGATTTCGGAGGTGACTTTTCAACAGTGCGGTATGCAGCCACGGTCTTCCTGTAGATGTATAGAAAGCCCAGAGGTTGATTTGCCTGGGAGAAATGTGCGGGGGTGGGGTGCCGTGGCATGTTTTACCAGCAGACAGAGAACATTACCATTGGACACCGTTCATGAAACGTTTCTTTTATTGGCCGTAAGATTCAGATAGCTTATGGAAAGAACTATTTTTTTTTCTTTCTATTACCCTAACACGGGGGCATCAGCACCTTTATTTTATTGTGCTTTAAACTGCTGGGAACATTAGACATAAATTTCATTGCTTTGTAACTTTTTTATATCACCCACAGTTTGACAAGTTGAACTTGCAGCCTTGGTATTTGCTTGACTTCAGAGGAGATTAATGTCCTCCTAAGCCCTAACTCGTAGCAAAATTTAAAGTTAGGGATAGCTTCTAGGAAGGAAAGGTGTAGCCACAATTACCAAAGGCTTGTAATGAAGGGTGGAGGGGGCCAGGGAGGCAAGGAGGTCATAATGAATCCAGTGATGGACCTGCCTAAAGGGCCTCCTCTCACCTTTAAAAGGATTTGTTGTATTAGTCACTGTACTTACTGTAGACATTGAGATTTCACTTTTCTCCCTCTGAAATAAGATTGAGATGGGGGGTGGATTTCCCTGGTGGTCCATTGGTTAAGATTCTGTGCTTCCAAAGCAGGGGGCACGGGTTAGATTCCTGGTCGGGGAACTAAGATCCCAAATGCCATGCAGCACTGCTGAAAAAAAAAAAATTGCTATAGGGTAGCTAAAGCACATCTCTTTTTCTCTTTCAGAAAATTTTGCCAAAGACCTTGAAATGTTTGCAAGGTGGGTAGAGAGCTTGATTGTGGGATCTTTGTTTGTTTACATGCTATTGATATGCCCCATCTGGTGGTGAATTTCAGGAGAGCTTTAGCTTTTTTTTTCCCCTGTGTTTTGTGGATGTTCAGTCTCCAATCATGATTCTGTAAGAATGTAACATCTGCTTTAATCACTGTCCATTCAGACTTGATTTGGCATTTTTTGAAGCTTTCCAAGTATTTTTTGTTAACGGAACCAGAGTTATTCAGTTCCAGGTTAAAAAGGTATGAATCATGTCTCCAGGACTCTGTGCACAGTGTGTGTGCTTTTAAGCCCATTTCTGCAGGTGGTGTAGTGCTGGGGCATGAGGCTGGGCGCCCGGGCTGGGCTGCTTCGTGCTCCGCGGGGAAGCTCGCAGGTGTCGGGATAATACAGCACCACGGCCCGTCAGCCCTGCATTTGCTGAGCTTGTTACAAGTGAGACACACGCTCCTTGAAAAGTGTGTGACTTACTTTCAGCTGGTAAAGTGTTAGCTTTTACAGGTGATTTATGCTCCTCTCTTCAATTAGTACTGCAGGTAATTGAAAACAATTGCAATGAATTGCTTTCATGAAGCAATTTGAATGAGGAAGGCCTGAAAGGGCCAAAGCTTTCTAATTTGCTCCCACTTCTGATTTGCTGCCAGCCTCTCCCACACCCCGTACTTTTCACCTTGCTCCTATTAGCTCTTTTTTTCTCTGATGAATATTCTGAATGAATTAAAGCAGTAGGTTCTCAGAGGGCAGGCTCTAAATCTTTCCTATTCCTGTGTATGAGTCCCTAAAAACCGCTTAGCATCTTCAACTTGGCCAGAAGGGATAAGGATAATGTATGGGATACTGATAGCTTATATGGCTAATCATTGTTAATTCAGGTGGTTGCCCCTTACCTGTGCCTCGTGCCCACCCCCACTCTGAGTCTCCTGTGACATACATTTACTACCATTACTTGCCATTTCTTTTCTTCTTTTTTTTTTTAAATATGAGCCTTTATACTACAAAGGAAGACACAAAAATGTAAATAAGTAGACAGTGGTTATTTGATTTGAACATAGAGTTTATCAATACAGATCACCTCAGCACTATTGACATTTTGGGCTGGATAATTCCTTGTTCTGGTGGTGGCTGTCCTGTGCATTTTAGTGTATTTAGTGGCACCCCTGGCCTCTACCCACTAGATGCCTGTAGCAAGCCCTCAGGTGTGAGTTTCCTTGCTACTTCTGTGTTAGTTGTGGGAAAAGACAATGAAAAACTTTAAATACTTCTAAATACTAGGAGTAAAAATGAAATTAGGGGACTTCCCTGGTGGTCCAGTGGTTAAGACTCCGCACTCCCAATGCAGGGGGCCTAGGTTCGATCCCTGGTCAGGGAACTAGATCCCACATGCCGCAACTAAAAGATCCTGCACATGGCAACGAAGATCCAGCGTGCCACAATTAAGACCTGGCACAGCCAAAAAAAAAAACCTACAGAGATTTTAAAAAATTTAAAAAGAAATAAAATTAGAACTATTTAGCATTGTAACACAGTAAGCTTTCAGGTACTCTGTGTTTTTTATAGTTCTTTTTAATAGGCATCGTGCTGTACATTACATTCCCATGATTGTCTTTTTTTTTTTTTTTAATTTATTTGGTTGCGCCGGGTCTTAGTTGCGGCAGGCGTACTCCTAAGTTGTGCCTCATGGGCTCCTTAGTTGTAGCTCACCGGCTCTTTAGTGGTGGCACGTGTGCTCCTTAGTTGTGGCATGCGAATTCTTAGTTGCGGCACGCATGTGGGATCTAGTTCCCTGACCAGGGAGCAAACCCGGGCCCCGAGCATTGGGAGCGCGGAGCCTTCACCACTGCGCCACCAGGGGAGTCCCTGTGTTTTTTATAGTTATGTTAAGTCCATTTCCTTTTGCTGGGCACTGGGGCAGAATGGTGTGTGGGTATCACTTAGACTGTCAACTCCACAAGGAAGGACGTCATCTTTCGAGTAAAGGAGTCTGTGTAAAGGCTATCAGCCTATGTTCTCTGAGTGAGGCTTTACTAGGAGATGCCGCGTCTTCTGCGGTGCTCACGTGGGTGCACCAGGGCTCCTCAGACGTCCTCCCAAGGACCCTGAGCGAACACAGGCACAGATTTTCTTTGAAGACTCATCCGTTGTCTTAATTTTACATTCGTTTTCAAAATAGCCCAGTTTACTCTCATATAAAAAATCCTGTTTTAAAGTTTATCACTGAATAACATTGATGTTCCCAGAAGATCACTTTATCCTGTGGTTTTGAGTTTTCCCTGTCACATAGTCCCTGCCCTTAGAACTACTGTATGATTACCCCAGTTTGAGAAGTCTGAAATACATATTGTTTCAGGTTGGCTATATATTAAATAGTCTTTGGAGGCTGGGAACCTAACCACTGTTTGTAACGTTGTTTCTATGAAATAAAATGCATTTAAATTGTAAATACTATAAACTCAATTCACCTGTAAACTTTGGACGATCATCTCCCAATTTAAGTTGTGAATTTCCCTTATTTAGCTTTGAAATCTCTAGTCACTTAATATTGTTAACATGTTAAAGATGAAACATTTTGAAGAAGATGGATATTCTACAGTAAATAAATTCTAGGGACATTTTGGGAATAATCTTTGAAACCTGTGTTGCTAAAAGTGTTATATGAAAATCCCTTTGTTACGTTCCATAGAGTAATTTTCTGGAGCCAGAGGTTTGATTTAGGAGAATCTCTGATATGCAGTGGCTGGCATAGGATATACCTACTCCTCCATCTGGGAAAGTGGTAACATTAAAACATGGTGCAGAGGGGACTTCTCTGGTGGTCCAGTGGCCCCAATGCAGGGGGCCCAGGTTTGATCCCTGGTCAGGGAACTGGATTCCACATGCCACAACTAAGAGTTGGCACGCTGCAACTGTGAGTTGGCATGCCACAGTGAAGATCCCGTGTGCCGCAACTAAGACCCGGCACAGCCAAGTAAATAAATAAATAAATATTTTTAAAAAAGAATAAAGAATATGGTGCAGAGAAACCAGATGACAAGCTGAGTGGTAGAGACGATTGACTCTGCTGTTTCCTAAATGCTTCTCGTGAACAGGTGAGCTAATCTTACTCTGTGAATAGTTCAGTGTGCTGCTTCCTCTCACCTACTCTTTGTTTGGCACTTTACCAAGGCGGTAATACCGCCAGAGCAGCCTGATCGTGTGATAGAGATGAAGGCCACGGTGTGTCCATGGCACCTAATGTCCTGCACCCAGGGAACCTGTGGATTGGCTTCATACTTTGTGGCTGCTATTTTATCACCTTTTTTTTAAATGTGTTCATTTTATTTATTTATTTTTGGCTACCTTGGGTCTTCGTTGCTGCGTGCAGCCTTTTTCTAGTTGCGGCGAGCCAGCTTCCATTGTGGTGGCTTCTCTTGTTGCAGAGCACGGGCTCTAGGCGCGTGGGCTCTAGAGCACAGGCTCAGCAGTTGTGGCGCGTGGGCTTAGTTGCTCTGCGGCATGTGGGATCTTCCCGGACCAGGGCTCGAACTCGTGTCTCCTGCTTTGGCAGGTGGATTCTTAACCACTGTGCCACCAGGGAAGTCCTCTATCACCTTCTGTCTGACTTTTTTCCCCCTTTCCTCTTTTCTGGTCCTTGCAGGTGGCTAGTTAGAAGTTATCTTCTGACATGGGTATTATATCAGGACAGGCAGATATTGTCAATCATGATGAGATGGCACATGATATTTTCACACTTAGCAGGATGTGAAAGACTAACGGCCAAATTATGGAGTATAATTTCTGTGATTTTATCTTTAACTCAACAGTGAGGACTTACTATTTGCTGGCCACTTTGATAGTTATTAAGGGTACAAAGATTCCTCCTTTTTCCTACTTACAAAGTTCCTACTTATTTTTGGAGGAAGTTAGAAATGGCAAGAAAGGGTGTAATTAGAGTAATAAATTATTGAATAGAGCTTATTATCTCAAATTACCTTTTTTTAAAAAATTAATTAATTTATTTATCTTTGGCTATGTTGGGTCTTCGTTTCTGTGTGAGTGCTTTCTCCAGTGTGGCGAGCGGGGGCCACTCTTCATCGCGGTGCGAGGGCCTCTCACTATCGCGGCCTCTCTTGTTGCGGAGCACAGGCTCCAGATGTGCAGGCTCAGTAATTGTGGCTCAGGGGCCTAGTTGCTCCGCGGCATGTGGGATCTTCCCGGACCAGGGCTCGAACCATTGTCCCCTGCATTGGCAGGCAGACTCTCAACCACTGCGCCACCAGGGAAGCCCTCAAATTACCTTTTAAAGCAGACATAGGAGGACTGGAACAAGAACTTGAGTCCATGTTGTGAGCCAGAAACAGACTCCAGTTGAAAGGATGTTCTTTGTTCTAACTGGGCTTTTGTCGGGGGAATGCGTTATCTCCTAGTTGGGAAATGGGATATTAGGAGACACCTGCACAAGCTTTTTCCTGTAATGTAGCCTTTGGAGAAGAGCTTTAGGACCTTGGTGTAAGTGAAGCCATGCTTCATGGAAAGTCTCTGTTCTTCTATTTAACGTCTGCTTAAGCAGAGACGATCTTTGTATCGTGAGCTCTGTGTCATTCTCTTTTCACTGAAGGTGCTTCACTGACCTTCTTGCTTTTTGTATGGTGGTCTCTGTGTCCATTGTGACCAAGCAGGCCATTTGGGAAGGGTTTAACGCCCCTCCTTTCCCTGCTCATATTCTCCAAGCACACTGGCCCTCAGGTGGAGGTGGACAGATGGGCTTCTGCTTTCTCTCAGTCTCTTTATTTAGTTGGTATCTTGGCTCGTCACTTCACTCATTTTTGTGTCACTGTTACTTACTGACCTTAATCTGAAAAGATGGGCTACTTAGAGATCCTTGCTGGTGTGGAGTCTGGCCATGAACTTTTGTGTTTCATCAAAACTTTAAATAATACCAAACATTTTGAATTGTTTCTGCCCTTTCTACAGACATGCGAAAAGAAGCACCATTAACACTGAAGATGTGAAGCTCTTAACCAGGAGGAGTAATTCACTGGTGAGAGATGAATTTCTTTCCTCACTCCCCTTTCCCATCAGAATATATTATTCCCAATTAATCACTTGCAGCCATGAAGTGATTCTCCAGGGCACCTTGCATTAAAAACGAGAGATGCTTGAACCATTCAGACCTGCCCGTAATTTATAGGCTTTCTTTCATTATGATGGATCTTACTAAGCCTATTTGAAATTTTCTAATCAGTGCTCTCTGGATTCATAATTTGCCTTTTTTGTAATATCTCAAAACTTTGGTCCCATGTTTCATTTGGAGCATGATGTCAGAGACAGGTCGCAGGCCAGAGTGTATGGGGATAGTTTCATTATGGTGCCCACAGTTCTGTTGGGCCAGGTATGGAAAGAGTATCTGTACATCTGGGATGTGCAGGAAATTGAGCACATTGTTTTTTCAAAGAAGTCTAGACCAAGCCCTCATTTTACAGGTGATGCCATGATCATCCCCGGCTAGTAGCTGTGGCCGATGGCAGATCCAGGACACCTGTGAGGTTTCCTGACTTAGTCTGATCCTAGCAGTTAAAATACTTTACGTTCCTCCCCAGAATGTGAGCTCCACGAGGGCAGGGATTTTTGTCCCCTTCTTCTCTGCTCCATCTGCTGTGCCTACGATAGGGCCTGGCCCACAGTAGGTGCTCACGAGTCGTTGCTGAATGAATGAACTTGTGTAGCACTTGGCAGTTTACACAGGACTTTTATTGATAATATTTTACATATATTATCTAAAGCTCACAACTGCCCTCTGAGGGTTTTCAATAACATGACTAGATAGCCCCATTTTACAGGCTAGGCTACTGGAGTTAAGTAACTTCCCAAAGTTAAATAGGAAGTTTTCTGGTTGACAGCTGAACCTTAACCTTTGAACCCTGACTCTAGTGCTGTTTCCACTGGTCTGTTTTAAGGATGATACGATTCCTAAGTAAAATAGCTCAGGTGCCTTGTGGTGCCGTGTATCAGTGGAAAAGACATTTCTCTCTCCTCATAAATCCTCTGTCATAACTCTTACTTGGTCAGCTTCAGTGAGAAATGTCTACCTTTTGCCAAGGAATCGTCAATGCAAGTCATCTTAGACTATTAATTGGCAAGTTTCCTGCTTAGTGCATATTTGTCTACTTCAGAATGTTGTTTTTATTTTGGGTTCTTAATTTTTTTATCTGACAGAAACTTATTACTGAAGAGTTGCAGCTAAATTTGTGCGTTAGACTAAATACTCCGAGGGCAGGGACCTTGTCGTATTTCCTTGTATCTCTAGTATCTGGTGCACAGTAGTTGCTCAGTAATTTTAGTTGGATAAATTTAGGGGCATGTTGACTATGTGTGCTTTGTAGAGTATATTTGTGATTGGCATGCCTTCTGTAAGCTACAAGTTTTAATTCTTTTGATTTTTCAAGGAACTCCTACCAGTTTGGTAGGATATGTAGCAGGGAGTTGACTTCTGAGGTTGATTCCTTCTTCCAGAAAAAATTTGAAGCTGTGTTTTAACTCTAAGGAATGTAACCCAGGGTGGGAGTGGTTGGGAAACGGTGTAGATTTTTTTCTCCCCTTAGGCTTATAAAATGGCTTTACAACCAGATAAAAATGTAGTTAAAACATTTTTTTATAGCTAAAATACATCACAGAGAAAAATGAAGACATCGCTCAGTTTAACCTGGAACGAAAAGCAAAGAAGAAAAAGAAGTTAGAGGATGAAAACAAAAATTCAGTGGAGCCAGCAGAGGCTGGTGTAGTGGAAAGTGAGAATTAAAGTCTGTCGCCATTTGGAAAAAGCAGCCTTCAGGTAGAGCCACTAAAAACATGTATTGCCAACAAAGGGTTTTGAAAGGATTAAGTGGATATTACAAAAAAAAAGGCTTGGGGGCTTTTTGTACTGTATTCTCCAAGTCACTGACTGCAAAAGGTGGTTTAAAAGAGAACTAGAAACTCTTAAGCAAAATACTCCCATGTCTTACTGAAGCACATGAAAAAAGTGTGTGTTTGAATGGTATATATTGGAAATTGTATCTATTGCAGTTAATAAAATTGTGTTAGCAATTACATATCGTTGACTTTTTCAAGCAAAAATCATAGTTATTTTTTCATTCTTTTATATAATTTTTCAGGCTAACAGTCCCTGAAAGATGAATAAAGCTATATTTATTTAGTTCTTTTTTTTTTTTTTTGGTTGCACTGCGTGGCATGCAGGATCTCAGTTCCCTGACCAGGGATTGAACCCAGGCCATGGCAGTGAAAGCGCTGAGTCCTAACCACTGGACCACCAGGGAACTCCCTATTTAGTTCTTTTGATTACCAATATTGTTTTTTAAAAATTAGTTAATTAATTTATTTTCAGCTGCATTGGGTCTTCGTTGCTGTGCGCAGGCTTTCTCTAGTTGTGGCGAGCCAGGGCTACTCTTCGTTGTGGTGTGTGGGCTTCTCGTTGCAGAGCACGGGCTCTAGGTATGCTGACTCAGTAGTTGTGGCTTGCGGGCTTCAGTAGTTGTGGCACGTGGGCTCGGTAGTTGTGGCTCGCAGGCTGTAGAGCGCAGGCTCTGTAGTTGTGGCACATGGGCTTAGTTGCTCCGCGGCATGTGGGATCTTCCCGGACCAGGGCTTGAACCCGTGTCCCCTGCATTGGCAGGCAGATTCTTAACCACTGCGCCACCAGGGAAGCCCCTCAGTATTGGTTTTTTTTTTTTTTCCCCAGTATTGTTTTTTAAACCCACTTCACTTGTGATCACAAGGTAAAAGGGTGGGTGTTTGGAAATGGTCCTTTTTACTTTTTAAAGGTGATTTTCCCCAGAAACACAGTTTATGTGACTTTTGTCTGGTTATTTTGTAATTATACTGGGCAGAAGTTTTGCTTGAGAGGAAAACCTGACTACTCCAAAACACTTCAGTTGTGTGTCCTCTGTTTTAGTTTGTGAGAGATGATGCTTCCAGGAGTCCCAGGTCTGCTGTCTTCTCCTTGGAGTTTATTAGGGGTCCAGGGCATGCCTTTTCCCTGTTGGGGCAACAAGAGTAAAGAAAAGGGCCTGGCACTTACAGAGCCCTTTCTGTGCGCCAGCTGCTGCCCTGGGTGTTCCATATAGTTCTTCACAACTTTTTCAGGGTTTTTTGTTTATTCCCATTTTACTGATGAGCAAGCTGAAGCTTGAAGATGTTAACCAACCACCCAGGATCTACTGACCAGTGGAGATGGTACTCACGTTTGGAGTGATGACTCTAGACTGGGTGAGAGAGAAAAGGTGCGTGCAGCTGGATAGAATTTATACCATCCATGCCCAGATATGACGAGCAAAAGATACCCCAGAGTCTAACTCTCAAAAGGAGATGCTGAGCTATGGTCATAGTAAAGCATTGAGTTCAAACTTCACAGTTTCAGGTTCTGCAAATAACCAATCTTTGGTCTCAGATAATAATTGTAACACCTTTGTGTCACATCAGTGAAAGAAATGTGAATCATGAAGGCTTCCGTCCTTACAGTACATTCCAGCCAAAGATCTGTACGTTAGCAGTTTCATTTTCAGGTAAGCTGTCTTTAAACGCCTCATCACGGACAGTTTTGAGACTAGATACTGTGGACTTTCCAAAGGTTGACAAATCTAGACTTGCATCCTGATTTCATAACTCGAATAGCTGTATGACTTTTTTTTTCCCCTATGAATAGCTGATTTTGTTTTATTTATTTATTTATTTTAACATCTTTATTGGAGTATAATTGCTTTACAGTGGTGTGTTAGTTTCTGCTTTATAACAAAGTGAATCAGTTATACATATACATATGTTCCCATATCTCTTCCTTCTTGCGTCTCCCTCCCTCCCACTGTATGACTTCCTGAAACTATGTGTTCTTATCAGTGAAATAGTTAATACCTCTCGCAGCAATGTTATATGCGACAATAAAAGGAAATTGGTAGAACCGTTATAATGCATCTTGTTTCTATAGCTTTCTCTAGCTCCAGAAACTCAGAATACACATGACTCGAAATGATGAACCCGTGTGCACCCTGGGTGTCCTGTCCCTGATTAGAGGGTTGTAGAGGGCACCTCCTGGCTGGCATGGGTATTTTGACATGAAGTTTTCTAGCAAGATGAGAAAGTTGACTTGATGTTCATGTAATCTTTTGGTTTATTTGGCACATATTTGTATGACCTGTTCATATTTTAGACAAGTGGTAGTACAACACATTTTTCGGGGATTATAACACAGGGGTGGCCAGACTTTGTATGGAATGGCTGAGTCTACTCCCTGAGTTCTCAGGAGCTGCCTCTTGCCCACCGCACGTTCTGATCAGGGTTTAGGTGACTCCAGAATGTCCATGTGATGTCAGCCATCCTTTCCAGTTCCACCTTTGCTGACAGTGGCAGAAGGGAGTGGTAGAGGGCTCTCTCTCACAGGCTTGCTTCCTCAGAGTCCTGGAAGCTCATCTGAACTATAACTAGATTTATTAACCATGTAGCCAGATGATTGACCATGTAATGCAGCAGATGTCTTTGACATATATGTAGCCTGGTAGCATAGTTGGGGCAATTTACATTTATAATGTTTGTTGTCTTCCTTGTTACACCAATTCCTCAAAAAAAATTGAAATAAAAGACCCTGTGTTAATTTTTTATTACTCAGTTAACGATCCAGGGAAGTTTCAGAGCATCCCCTTCTACACACAGCAGCAGCTGGGATGTGCTGGGGTAGGTCTACGCTGGCTCATACACAGCTGATACCTTGAAACCTAGGTGTCTGGGAAAGCGTAATCAGCGCCCGATTACTACCTTTACTGAATTGCAGAATCTGTAAAGAACCCTTAGAGGTCGTTTAGTCCAATCTCCCCAGCAAGTAGGAACCCCTTCTGCAACACTGCTGACTGTGGTTCCCCGGGCTCTGCTGAATTCCTCAGGGACAGAGCGCCCTTTCTGTTACTGGGCACTGATTGTTGCAGGTTTCTTCTGTATATGAAGAAGAGTCTTCCACCTTCTATCTAGGCCCTACTTCTGCCTTTTAGAATAAACAATCTCCCTTTTTCGAAACCATACGGTACTGTGTTCCCTTAGTCCCGGCTCGCATGGTGCTTCTTTTCAGAAGCACACGTTCTTGCATAAAACATTAGACCGTCGGCTCCCTGTGGGCAGGCTTTGGGGTGGGAGAGGGTGGTGGGTGCCTTGTGTTGTGCTGTGCACACACGGCAGGCAGGCGCCCCCGAGTACTTGTTCCCGAGTCTGAGGTGTGCTGGGTGGTGAGGAGGAGCCTTTGCTTGTGTTTCATGGCTCTAACCAGGGATTTCCAACGTTTTGTGGCAGGGAGCTCTTCTTTATACTGTGGGGCAGGAGGGACTAAGGATTTAGGGTATCTTCTTAGTAACAGTTCCTATCGTGAGGGCCTTCTGTGCTTTCTACTTGTGTTAGGTGCTTATCATGATCTTATTTGTTCCTCACAGAGTTCTGTGAGGTAGGCAGTAGGTAGGGTTTTTATCCCCATTTTATAGATGAGGAACCCGAGGCCCTAGAAAAGTTAATTCAGTGGCAAAACTAGGATTTTAGTCTAGAGCCGTCACCTTGAAGTGCTACGATATGTCGCCATCTCCTTGAAAACAGCCAGTAATAAGATCACATGAAACCTTCTCCAACCCGTAGCACATAACCCTCTTTGCACCAAAAATTTACTTTTCTCTCATTTGCAGAGTGTGTATCCTGCCCCTTCGCGGGGCTCTAACAACTCTGTCGGGGTGGAGGATGTGGCTCCCTTGTACCTCTAGGTGGCACGTGCCAGGTGCTCAGTGTTTAATGAGGCTACTAAATAAAATCTGGGAAATATACTAAGGCTATAAGAAGCTGGCTGAGCTGCCATGACCTTCTCATCTGCAAGAATATCTAAACATTTTTAACACCATTTGTGGGAGTCAGGCAAAAAATTTATTGTGGTACCAAAAAAAGGACTAGGCGATATGCAGCATATGATCCATGGGTCATCGTGCCGTGCCGATTTCACCTAGAACCTTAAACAACAAGCCTGTGATGCAATGAAATTTAAGGTTGAGATTTCCCTTGTGAAGGGGTGTGAACCAGGATCTTGGAAAACCGAAAGCTTCAATGTTCACTTCTGGAAAGCACTGTCAGTTCTTTGGTTGCTTTTTTCCATTTAGAACCTTGCCTTTGACATTGGTCACCTTAGTAGGTGAGTGGTGGATGTTTTGGATTTTCCTAGCTGTCTCAGGTGAAGAGGGTCTGCACATTTGTTTGTGTGCCTCTGAACCTGGGACCCATCCGGAGGAGCCAGGAGGTGGCATGGCACAGAGGGCTTCACGTTCTGGAGTTCTTAGCAGTGGAGCTGTCTTCAGGAGGAGAGGAAGCCCCAGGAGCTGGTCAAGTGCAGGGCATTCAGTAAGAACACGCACACGCACGCACACGCACACACACACGCGCACGCGCACACACGCGCGCACGCACGCACACACACACACACACACACACCAGTATTTATCATTACTCAACATGATGCCCTCTAATTTTTATTTCATTCAGAAAAAGTGCTAGGGCTTCCCTGGTGCCGCAGTAGGTTGAGAGTCTGCCTGCCGATGCAGGGGACACGGGTTCATGCCCCGGTGCGGGAAGATCCCACATGCTGCGGAGCAGCTGGGCCCGTGAGCCATGGCTGCTGAGCCTAAGCGTCCGGAGCCTGTGCTCCGCAACGGGAGAGGCCACAACAGTGAGAAGCCCACGTACCGCAAAAAAAAAAAAAAAAGTGCTAGTTTACGAGCCACTAGTGAGTGGCTAGCAGCAGATGAAAAGCACTGGTCACTCTAGTGTCAGCTCATTAGAATTGTGGGATCTTGGCTCCTCCTTGTACCCACGACATCAGAATCTGCATTTTAATCTTAATAAAGGTGATTTGGGTGCACGTCACAGCTTGGGAAGGCCCGGGCCAGAGGACAGTGTCTGGCCTGCTGGGCAGAGAGGCAGTGCTGGGGAACCATCACTCGGGTCGCCCTTGCCTGCGGTTTGGAGACCAGTGGGTGCTGAGCGGCTCCCTGAGCCCTCACCGTCTCCTTGTTTCTTCTGCCCAAGCAGATTCAGTCATACTTTTATGTGGGCAGAATTGCAGGTTTTAAGCTCCTTATCCAAGGCTAATTTTGTATTATGTTACGTCGCCTGGTTGGTTCTCCCGGCTTCCTGCTTGGCTCGGGCATAACCATGAGGAGGTAGAAGTTCTTCAGAGGCAAGTGCACTGCATCCTACAGTCGGAGCAAATCCGCTCTCAACACAGCAAGAGACCTGAGGCTTTAACGAAGGGGTTAAATCCAGTCCGAAAGCACTTTTGTGGGCACTGATTGCTCAGGCTTATGCGTCACTGCTTGAGTGTGAAGGAAGAGGGGGTACAGGCTTTACACAGGCATATATACAAAAAAACAGCTGCAGGTCGAGCTTAAAATAACCCCCTGGTCTCCAAAGAAGAGACCCAAGTCCACAGCACACCGATTTCGGGGCTGCCAAGCAGGATGAGCAGCCGCCGGGCTGGAGAGAAGTGCCAGTCAGCCTGCAGGATGCTGCTGCCCCTCTGCCTGCTGCCGCTGCCCTTGGGGGCCACCGCCGCCCTTCCCCTGGAGGGCGGCCTCGCCGGCCACGACAGTGGGGTGAGTAGTCTGACTCGGCCGCATGCTAACCCACTTGTGGGCTCTTTCCTTGGCACATTTGGATTCCCCAGCATCTCCACGACTGAGTGTGTGTACAGGACAGACTGCAGGGCTGGACTCTGCAGTGTTCCCCTCAGCTGCCCTGTGCCGTGATGTCCATATAGACCATTGATTCTTGTTTACCTTCAGTTGTTAGGAAGTTTGTCAGAAAGCTCTGAAACTAAGGGGAGCTCCTTCTAGCTAGCAGTCTCCATCTGCTAGTCTTTGAAACATTTAGTGATTACACCAGTCTACTGCAGCGCAATCATGGAGCTGCCACTGTGGTATTAGTCACACATACTTCTAAAATCTTAATTTATATATACAGCACATGTTCTCACTGGCTCAGATTAATTGACATCATTACATTTTCCATTGTGAGAATTTGTAATCTCATGACTTATTTTTCTCTTTTTCCCATTTTGAAAAAGTTCCAAGAAAGAGTACATAAAGTTGACCATTAAAAATGTATTTTTCTCTGAAATTATCAGATGAGTTCCAGACAAGTCATTCATCATCAGATTACTCCTAGAAGCTTTCTAAGGAGTTTGAAAAGCCAGAATACAACGTCTCAAGCTGATCTCTCTCGAAAAGCAATTTGTGGACAGCCAGGAGGAAGACCAGAGATGGGAAAACCAAGCTAAATTAGCCTGATCCACCTTGGGGGGCTTCTTAGCTGCCAGTCACTTGTCAGGGAAAATGATAGATTTCTTGACCTCTTCTAATTAAGAACCTCAGCCAAGATTAGGGGCAAAACAAGCAGATTTTCCTTGATTGAAAAATTTCAACTTCCCTTGATTGAAAATTTACAACTTCTTTTCTCTAATTAGAGCAATTTCGTTAAGGTGTTCTCTTAACTTATCCTTTAAATAGAAATGTGATTTATTGTTCTGGAGCATTTTTTTTTTTAAGGAATTATGTATCTTAATGCTGGCTGAACCAGGTGGTTGATTTGGCTTTCCTTTGTCCTCTGCTTCTTTTTAAAAGCATGTACAGGAAGTGGCAGAAATAAAGAAAAACAGCCTGTTGACTTTCCTTGCGTGGTGGTATGAGTGGGCCTCCCAGGCCAGGGCAGTGTCCTTTGTAGGAGGGGAAGCCAGGGAGGTGTCCAAACGGCAGGAAGTCCTGCCCCTCCAACAGTCCACTCGCTGAGAGAAAACGCCCTGCAAGAATTTCTACTGGAAGACCTCCTCCTCCTGCAAATAAAACCCCACCCATAACTACTCATGCAAAGAAGTGTAACGATGGATCTGAATAAAATGTATTAATCAGCCGTGATCTTTCTTCTTTATGCAGTTGTCTTCTCTTTCCCGTGTAATATGAAAAGTAGTTTTTATTTAAACTCCAAAAACACCCAATACTGAGTGTCTTGAGTAATTTGAAACCCAAAGAGAGTATTTTTGATAAAGATTTTTGTGGCTTTTCCCGTTATTGTCAATGCAGCCATGGGGCTTTGCTTCCACCTTCATTATGTGCTTAGAGGTTGTTCTGTCCTTGTCTTCCTTGCTTTGATTTAAAATAGCTAAGAGCTACATATTTAAGTGTTCAGAATAACATTACAGTTTATTTTGATATAAACTGTCTAATTTAGGGCTTCCCTGGTGGCGCAGTGGTTGAGAGTCCGCCCGCCGATGCAGGGGACACGGGTTCATGCCTCGGTCCGGGAAGATCCCACATGCCGCGGAGCGGCTGGGCCCGTGAGCCGTGGCCGCTGAGCCTGTGCTCCGCAACGGGAGAGGCCACAGCGGGGAGAGGCCCGCATACCACACACACACACAAAAACTGTCTAATTTAAACAATATTTCCCCTCATATTAAAAGCAATTTTTAACATTGTGCTCAAAGAACAAAACGATTGTTCCTCATGTTTTAGCTAAAATTAAAAACAAATGCCACGCTATTAGGCAGACAACATCATGTTGACATGCTTATAAAAGTTACATTCGAAACTGCTGTTAAAAATTACCTGTACTGGGGCTTCCCTGGTGGCACAGTGGTTGGGAGTCCGCCTCCCGATGCAGGGGACATGGGCTCGTGCCCCGGTCCAGGAGGGTCCCAAGTGCCGCGGAGCGGCTGGGCCCATGAGCCATGGCCCCTGAGCTTGCGCGTCCGGAGCCTGTGCTCTGCAGCGGGAGAGGCTGCGGCGGTGAGAGACCCGCGTACCACAAAAAAAAAAAAAAAAAAAGTACCTGTACTAATTTTAACTAGTTAATATTAATTTGTTACAATTCTTTTTTATGGAGGAGAGCTTGAGGCTTATTTCAGATCAAGCATAGTGAGCAGTGCTGCTGCCCAGCCTGTAGCCTAATTGCCTCCACTGCTAATACAAGGACTTCCAGAGTCACAGGATCCGGACTTCATTTGGAGACGGATGCATATGTATTGATATGTGTATAATTGTTATATTTTCCCTTTCCCCAGTAATTTCCCACAGAAGTGAGTGAATGGTGGGTAAACGAGGGGGAGATTCCTTTCTGTGTGATATAATGCAGAGCGACTGTCCAGCCCCATGTGGACCAGCATCTGGGTCCCCTGAGATGGAGGCAGGAGTAAACAAGTGCTCAGTTCCAAACCCTAATCAAATTTCAGTTCTCCCCTGTAGCCCTGAAATCCTTCCTTGATTGTACATATTGTTTATGGCTCTGGAACCACAGACTCTAAAGAAAACTTCCAGCGTGAGGTTTTTCAGATGCTAAACTTTGAAGCTTAGTGTTACAGAAAGTTTCTGAGGGTCACGGCTATTATCAGGAAAACTGGCAAAGGCTGGCTGGAGGGTACTGTGATATTTTCTTCTCTGGACACAAGGGGAGCAGACTCACGGAGTATGACTGCTGACAGTTCCATTCTGTTTTCCACAGAGCTGAGCTCATATTCATAATTACTAGCTGAGTAAAGTATAATGTGATGGAAGTGCCTTAATAGCATCCACATTTCCAAACACAGCAGCTTTCAGAGACCGGTAATCGGGTCAGTGCACTGGTGGAAGATGCCTGCCTGAAAGGCCAGCTAACCTTCAGACCTGAAGATTCTTCTAGAAGAAAAGCACGCTCACTGTTTTTCAGTTTCAGTCAGGGTCATACATACACAGTCCTTAAGACTGGAGATCGTAACTTTTTTTTTTTTTTTTGGCCGCACCGTGTAGCATGCGGGATCTTAGTTCCCTGACCAGGGATCGAACCTGTGATCCTGCAGTGGAAGCACGGAGTCTTAACCACTGGACCACCAGGGATGGCCCTGTAACTTTTAACTAAGTAATATCTGAAGGAAATGAAGCTATGCTAATGACACTGCCAGGAAATTCATCAAGTTTAAGCCTACCTTAGTTCAGTGGCCTTGATAAAATGTTAACTGGCATCAACTGCATGCTAGACTAGAGTAAAATGCTCATGATTAATAAATTAGGGTAAAATGTGTAAATTAGGGTGATTTCCTACCATCTTAAAGTCTACCTTTGTGTAGTTCAATATAGTCAAATGTGTAGATCTAGGACATCAAGACCTGGACAGCTGCTAATTCATTCTCTTGCATTTCCAGTATTTCACCAGAATAGATCCTTAACTGCTAAGGAAGAACTGATGTGGCATAAGCATTCGACAGAAATCCTTTCATAGTATTCATGTGTCAGTGCTGACAGCAAACCGTTTCAGTGGAAAGTCAGACCGGTAAGCTCATGGGAGATACGTAAACACCTTGAATTGACAGCACCTGCTGAAGGGATAACCCACATCTTAATAACAGCAGCTTCTTCGATAGAGAGGTAGGGATTCGATTTTGAACAAATCAGAAGAGGAAATGTCATTTAGCTCTGAAAAAGAAGGAAGTTTTCTGTTTCTAGACTAGGAAGGAAGAGGCAAAGGACAGCTGGGCAACCCACTATTTCTAGCTTCTCATAACCCTAATAAAAATTAACACGAAGTTATCCTTTCTATTTATAATTAAATAGTTAAGTGAACAGATACGTGTTTGTCTTATTAAAATAACTGTAAGCTGGAGAAAAAGCTAGAATTTTCTTGGTGATAGTTTTTGTAACATGATATTAGAAAATACTGAAGAAAATCCCATAGCCCTGCATTAACCTGTTGGTTCACTTCCTTATAATTGTGGAAGTGTTGTCTGACTTAGTTTGAGCAAACAGCTAACTTTAAGGATCTGCAACCTGAAAATTTAATGCAGCTCCTGGGGAGAAGTGAATCTCTTCCCTTCATTGGAAGCTTCCAAATAGGATGGAGGACTCCACCCCTCCCCTTTATTACTTAAGAACCTCAAGTAATATAAGACACAGCCAAAATAATTTAAGGCAAAACCCTATAAATACAACAAAATAAGAAAAAAAACCTGAAGGCAAAAAAAAAAAAAGATAATAAAAGACTAGATAATTAGGAAATTAAAAAATCTGGTTAGTAAAGTTACATTAATAATTCTTGTAATTAATGTATGTTTTTAACAGACTATTATTTTATTCCTTTCTCTCTGGAAAATGAAAAATCCATTAGCTTTTTCCTTTTGCTTTTACCCAGAAATTAAAGGTTGGTAAGTGGTAATTAGCACAGCTCCTGTCAAAGCCAGTTGCCTAATGGGGACCGACATTTGACTTGAGTTGAAAGAATGGAATATGGCTAATATAGAGTTCATTAGTCCCAGTTGCTTTCTTTGACGTTCTTTTCTCCTAACATAAGAACAGGCATGCCCTGCTCTCTCTCTCCTCTCCTATTTTTAGACATATTGCTGTGCTGCTACATTTCTATTCTAGAAGGCCTGGAGGCACAGTGGTGTAAGGAAGGTAAGTGGCAGCTGGGGCAAAATAACTGTCACTCCACGTTTGGTCTAGGGTTTGCAGACTAAGGTCTTTGCTCCTGCCCCCATCTCTGGCCCTGGGGCAGTGAAAGGGAACCACTGCCTACACTGACTCTGTGTTGGGTTCTATGCTCTTCCTCATACTTAACTTCATTTAACCCTTTCAATCTTGGGGCCTTAGGCTAACCTTACATTTTTGGAAACTGCTGTCCCATAAGGTTAGACTCAACGTGGGTCTGTCTCACTCCAAAACCCATAGTACTTTTTCCACTCTCCTATGCAGCTGAGATGCTTGGTGGGTTTGTTTCAAGTACAGAAGACCAATACCAACACCCAGGCCAGTCAACTAAAGCTCTACTGTGCATTTGACAGAAGTAACTGAAGAAAACATTTTTCATTCAGCAGGGCAAAGATGGAAATGTTGACAGAATTGGTGACTAGAGATGCTATTCTATTATTTCTGGCATACAGGCTTCCTTTACTACTGGGCTAACTACACAGCATTCACAAGGCTGATTTACTTCTCTTACACCACCAGCACAGTGACTACAGTCAGAAGTCTTTGGGCAGTCATGTTGCAGACATATTAGGCCTCTTCCAGTTGGAGCTGACTCCAACTTATTCCACTGGTATTAACAAAACCAGTCATCTGGATGTAGAGTAGGAAGGACTATATGGACTTAAGAGAAAATACAGATAAGTAGAAAGAACACTGGAATTAGAACCAGAAGACCTGCCTTTGAACCCTGGCCCTCCTATTAGCCTTGTGTCACGAGGCAAGTCACTGACCCTCCCTGAGCACAACTTTGCTCATGCATAAAATGAGAGGCAACAAGCCACGCCCTGTTTATTAGCTCACTCGGTTTTGAGGCTCCAATGTGGTAGGTGCTGGCACAGAGCACACTACAAACTGCTATAAAAATCCTCAACTGGCATTACTGTCCCTCCAGGGGCATTCTGAAAATGTGTGGGGCTGTTTTCAGTTGCCTCAATACCTGGAGGTTGCTACTGGTGTTGAGTGGGTGGGGTAGGATGTGGGATGCTCGTCTTCCTGCAAAGCACATGACTGTTCCACACAATGAAGAATCATCCCATATCCCATGTGACTTTTTCCCCCCCTACCTGACTTTTTTTTTTTGCGGTACGCGGGCCTCTCACTGTTGCGGCCTCTCCCGTTGAGGAGCACAGGCTCCGGACGCGCAGGCTCAGCGGCCATGGCTCACGGGCCCAGCCGCTCCGCGGCATGTGGGATCTTCCCGGACCGGGGCATGAACCCATGTCCCCTGCATCGGCAGGCGGACTCTCAACCACTGCACCTCCAGGGAAGCCCGCCCCCACCTGACTTTTATATGTCATTCTGGATGTTCATAGGGATGAAAACCTCTTCCAAATTAGCCCCAAACCTAATTCTGTTTTATATGTAAATACAAAGTATTTTTTCCAGTTTTAACAAAGTTCCATGGATCTGTCAAGAATGCAGCCACATTGTAAATCGAGGATAGATGTGTTACTCTGTCCAGAACATCACTGTTTTGGGAAATCCCATTACAAAGGGCAACGCTGCTTGTGGTGTTTGAGTTGACAGTCACTACACACTGTGCCTGGCTGCCTCTAACAGATTCACAGTAATTCAGTGGGTAAGTACACGCATCTGACAGCTTCACTGTGCCTTTCGTATGGTCATCTCCAGAAAGTGACACTGAGATACACACCATTTTGTTGGAAATTATTTTCCTTTATTTCTTCTGAAATACTACATTTGGGGGTATTATGTTGATGAAGGTATGCACGTAGGTCGGTTATCAGCTCTGGCTTTCATTTAAGGATAATTAAGAAGGCATTATAAAATATGCTATTAAAAAAGAAGTATTGGGGCTAATAAGTGAGAACCAAATGCGTAAGGCATTAGTAAGAGCACGCTGCGTAGGTCTGAGTCCTCCTTGAGGAAGGGCACAGCAGAAGGAAACAGTTCTTTTTGTTCTGTTTGTTTGTTTTCTGTACCTCTCCCTCGCCCTAGGACTTACTTATTGTTATATTTCTTTACTTAATAATTAGCCAATGTATCTCTTAATAGCATTCTGTTTTCCTCTAAGTATGCTTAAGAAGTAAGTCAAATAAGTCAGTAACTATCTTTTCCCTGCAAGAGAGACTGCATTGTAGATTACAAAACCCGAAGAACAAGCTTGTACAGAAACGGGGAATGTAAACCGGAAGTCTCTGCTTTGCACCCAGAGAGACCTGGAGTCATATCTCATGGAGACTGATTTAATGACCGTTTTATACCCCCTGCTGATAAAACACATTAGAAAACTGGCAAGTTTCACAGTGGTAATGCATATAATTTCACAATACTGAATTAGATATTAGAAATGGTGAATTACTCTCCATATGTTCCCTATGGTCTGCAAATTTAATACGTGCCTTTAAAACAAACAAAAAAATTCCTTAACTTGAGAAACAAGTTTGTGGCCATAATCAACACTCTGATATGTCATCTTCTCTACTGTTATTTTGTGTTTAAAATTCTGCAGTTCCATCTTTAGAATAAGAATAGTGGGTCTATTACTATGATGGTTGCATAGTTCAACAGATTGAATCATGAAAGAGATATACCATTTATCTGATGGTAGAAAAAAAAAGTAAAAAAAAAAAAAAAGAATAGTGGGTCTGAAATATGACAATTTCTTTTCCCTGCCCTTTACAACTACTGTTAGAGAACGTAAGAACTTGCAATTAGAGGAGGTGGGATATTGCTGGTGCAGCTCTATGGTTCAAAATAGGTCAGAGAGCCCACGTGGAGATCTGGAATAGCTTTTCTGGAAAGGGCATGAAGCCTGTCTTCCAGCCTGTTCCAGGAGAACATTCTCAAAGGCAGGGGGTAGAGGAGTATGTAGGGAGCTACAAAGATTAGGCTGAAGGTGTTTACTGACACTGACACAAAACCCAAGGTTTTCTTTGGCATATCTCTGGCTGCCAGCTATGTGGGGTCTCGTCTGGCTTGTTTGGGATTCTGCACCTCTCCAGGCAGCGAACTCTTCCTTGCTGAAATGCTCCTCAGAGAATACAAGCTCTGTACCTGCTGGAGGCGCAGGCTAAGTTCCTGATTACAGGTCTGTTGAACAGCTTCCGTTTTCTTTATGTCCCAGTTCAAAGCAACAGCCAGTGCTTTAGGGTCCTCCTTGGCAACCAACTGCGGCAAGAGTAAGAACCATTAAGAACCAGCACCTCTGCTGCTCTTGTAATTTTCTTTAGGGGGGTGAGAATGGGCAATATCAGTCTATGTCCTGTCTTTATGCTGAAATGCCAGGTCTCCTTCATATTCAATTGTCACAGGCCTCTTCTCACCATACAACACCAACAGGAAAGGACATCTAGAGAGTAGTTTACTTGGAGCAACAATAAAGTCCTCCGCTCACAGGAAATTTAGCCAAGCTCAAGTCAGTACAGCTTCTTTCCCTTCTATAGCTACACCAAGGAAGTACTGGGAACAGGGACAAGGGTGAAGCATAAGAAGGAGCACCCAGGGGCTTCCCTGGCAGCCCAGTGGTTAAGATTCTGCACTCCCACTGCAAGGGGGCACAGGTTCGATCCCTGGTCGGGGAACTAAGATCCCACATGCCACTCGCCATGGCCAAAAATAAAATAAAATAAAAAATAAAAATAAAATAACTGTGAAACAACTGATGAAACAAAAACACAAGCTACAGCAAATCCCCCCCCCCCAAAAAAAAAGAAAGAAGGAGCACCCACTTTGATGGGTTCCCTTCATCAAGCCTCCAGTTCCCTGGTCTGAGGGCGCAAGATGATCCCCTCGAGTGGGCCTTTCTCAAGGATATTTTATGTGCTTCTACGGCCTATGGATCTTTTTCAACCACTGACAGATGCATCTCAGAAGCCTGAGTCCTGCTACTCCTCCCTGTCGGGGTCAGACATTTCATTACCTACTTTGGACCAGAAAATAATGTTTGATGATCTGAGGGAGTGCACCCATTTTGTTTAAGATTTGGATTAAATGAGATGTTTGCAAATGCTTTGCATACAATAATGGGCAAATTGACAGCTATGATTCAAGGTCTGCAGAGGTGAAAAAAACCTGATACAAGCCTCTCCTTGCAAAGGTCAGGGTCTCTGGTGCTCGCCCACCTGCAAATCTTGACTAGACAAACTCAGCTCTGGGGCGGCTTTCTCCTTCAGCGCAGTAAGGATCTGGCTCCTAAGTGCAATTTCGGAGGAGCTCTCTCCAATACCCGTGTCAACTGCATCCCTCTCATCACCGAGGCCAGCTTTGGACTCTGCAAAGCAGATGTGAGACAGAGATCAGCACACCATGTACACATACAGCCATACCAACATCCAGCCAGAGCAATCAGCTGGGCAGACAGAAGCCTGTCATCTCAAGATGCCAGCAGCTGTGGTTTCACTGTTTTTGACCACATGGTAAGCATCTGGCTCTCTCTCAAGGAGAGGCTCTACTGAGTTCTCAGTGTAACTCCCCCAGCCGATGAATCCTACCTTGCTGCTTCAGCAGTATGCTGCCCTCCTTCTCCAAAGCCCGGAGGTAAAGCTCCAAGAGCTGCTTGGACTGACGGGCTTCCTCTCTCTGGTCAAGGACCTGCTGGAGGGTGTTCTGGAGTCCCTGGACTGCGACACGACTTTGGCTGAGTTCCTGAGCCAGCTCTGAACATGGGACATCAATAAGCATCTGACAAACAAATACGGACTTTAAGAAATTGGAAAGTACTTTCTAAACGTGATGTTATAGCTCTCAAATACATCAATTTCGCAGACTCATTTCATCTAGTTCCCAAAGTTACCTAATATGGCTGCCTGAAAGTCAGGAAAGAGGCATGTAATTTTTTCAGTTTTCCTCTGGTGAAAAAATTAGGAAAATATTGCCTTAGTGCCTTATTAAAAACAAAACAAACAGAAATAGAGTCACAGATGTAGAAAACAAACTTATGGTTACTGGGGGGGAAGGGGAGGAGGGATAAATTGGGAGATTGGGATGGACATATACACACTACTATATACAAAATAGATAACTAATAATGACCTACTGTACAGCACAGGGAACTCTGCTCAATACTCCGTAATGACCTATCTGAGGAAAGAATCTAAAAAAGAGTGGATATATGTATATGTATAACTGATTCACTTTGCTGTACAGCAGAAACTAAAACAATATTGTAAATAATTATACTCCAAATAAAAATTAAAACAAAATCCTGATATTAAATAACCCATTGTACATTGTACAGAATATAAAGGAGGAGGTGTATGATCACTTATGCAATGAATCAGTATGAGGCTATTTCAAGCAAAAGTCTTTCTGATGATTTTAACCTTAAACATTTTTATTATACATGTTCGTACTTTGAACGACTATTTTGCAAATATAAACTACTCAGCCTTTAAATGACGTGTTCAGTCTATGAAATAAGGGAGTCCTCACTCATCATACCCTAGATCTTAAGAAGGCTCGATCTTTTGACAGATTAGATTAAAAATTGTCTTCAGGGCTTCCCTGGCGGCGCAGTGGTTAAGAATCCGCCTGCCAATTCAGGGGACACGGGTTTGAGCCCTTGTCCAGGAAGATCCCATATGCCATGGAGCAACTAAGCCCGTGCGCCACAGCTACTGAGCCCTCATGCCACAACTAGTGAAGCCTGCGCACCTGCAGCCCGTGCTCCACAACAAGAGAAGCCACCGCAATGAGAAGCCCGTGCACTGCAACGAAGAGTAGCCCCTGCTCACCGCAACTAGAGAAAGCCCACGTGCTTGCAATGAAGACCCAAGGCAGACAAAAATAAATTAAAAAAAATAATAATTAAAAAATACAAAAATAATAAAAAAATAAAATAGTCTTCATAAGAGAAAGATCAAACTGTTGAAATTCTTGGAGTAAATCTAACTTCAGCTGCAGATTAGAATATGGAGCTTAATAAGAAATACAATAATAAGCATTTGCATTTCTCGAGCACTTACTATGTATCAGTGAGAAAATTGATGTTAAAACTCTTAGGACAGAAAGTGATGAGGTGGGCTGCTCTAGATTGGGAAAGGAGGTGACTTTATAAGTTATCCTTAACTTTCATATTTCATCAATTTTTGAACAAGTAGTATTAATATACATTCATAAGGTTCAAAATTCAAGAGGTACAAACCTTCTGAGGTAAGTACTAGTATTACCACCACCTTAACAGATGAGGAAAATGAGGCAAGAGCAGTTAATAACGTCCCAAGGATCAGTCAGTTCTAATCCTCAGGACGCTGTGTAATTGATCCCTGGGCTCCTCCCTTCCCTCCCATCTGTTCTCACTCCCCATGGTCCCCGAGATGGTGGTACCTTTCCTCTACCTGTCGCGTGGCCAGCCTCTGCAAGCTCCTGTCCTAAGCTTCCCTGTGGAGCCTAGCTGTCAGAGCCAGGCTCACTCATATTCTGGTATCCCTATTTTGGTAAGGACTGCTGTGCTCCTTATTCTAGGGGTATCGTAATATACTAGTCTGTTGGGATGGGAAGGGATCTCATGACCCCTTTCTGTTTCTTTTTTTTTTTAGCCACAGGGCATGTGGGATCTTAGCTCCCCAACCAGGGATCGAACCTACACCCCCTGCAGTGGAAGCGCAGAGTCTTAACCACTGGACCGCCAGGGAAGTCCCCCCTTTCTGTTTCATAAAAAAGAAAAAACAGGGCTTCCCTGGTGGCACAGTGGTTGAGAGTCCGCCTGCCGATGCATGGGACATGGGTTCGTGCCCCGGTCTGGGAAGATCCCACATGCCGCAGAGTGGCTGGGCCCGTGAGCCACGGCCGCTGAGCCTGCGCGTCCAGAGCCTGTGCTCCGCAACGGGAGAGGCCACAACAGTGAGAGGCACGCATACCGCAAAAATAAAGAAAGAAAGAAAACGAAAAAGAATAAACAAGAAAGAAAAAAATCAAGCTTGCTCCTGCCCTCCCTCTGCCTGGAACACTCTGGCCCCAACCTTTCCATGGCAAGCTTCCTCTTGTCCTTCAGGGTCTCCTCTTGGGACCTGCCAATGTTTCTCAACTAAATTCTATGAATTTATTCTATGCACAAGCATGTGTGAAAAATGACACTGATCTAAGCTTTTTGCAGCACTTACTAGAAGAGCAAGACTGATGACACCCACATGTCCCCCAGTGGGGGAATCCCATTAAATAAGTCATGGTACAGGCACGAAATGGAATATTATGCAGTGGTGAAAAAGAGGTGAGGATGTCTTTTATAAACTGATCTGGAATACTTTCCAAATCTTTCTTTACAGATTAGAGGGCTTCCCTGGTGGCACAGTGGTTAAGAATCTGCCTGCCAATGCAGGGGTCACGGGTTCGAGCCCTGGTCCAGGAAGATCCCACATGCTGTGGAGCAACTAAGCCCATGTGCCACAACTACTGAGCCTGTACTCTACAGCCCAGGAGCCACAACTACTGAAGCCCGTGCGCTTAGAGCCCGTGCTCTGCAATGAGAAGCCACTGCAATAAGAAGCCCGCGCACCGCAACGAGGAGCGGCCCCCGCTCACTGCAACTAGAGAGAGCCTGCACTCAGCAACGAAGATCCAACACAGCCAAAAATAAATAAATAAATGAAAAAAAATTAAAACAGAGTAGAGATGCTTCCACTTGTGTGATACAGGGGAGGAGGTGAAAACACTTATGTATTTGTTTGTATATAAAGTATCTTTGGAATGGGAAACTGACAGATTGGTTGTCTCCAGGAAGGGGAGGTTGGGTGGCTGGGGGCAGGAGTCAGACTTTTCCTGTATATCCTTTCTTTTCTAAACAGCTTAATTGAGGGATTTCCCTGATGGTCCAGTGGTTAAGACTCCATGCTTCCAATGCAGGGGATGTGGCTTCAATTCCTGGTCGGGGAACTAAGATCCCACATGCCCTGTGGCCAAAAAAAACCCCCCAAAACCCAGCTTTATCGAGATAAAGTTAATATACTGTACAATTCACCCATATAAAGTGTATAATTCAGTGGGTTTCAGTATAATTAGTGGTCTTCTTGTGATAGTGCAATCACCACCACAGTCAGTCTTAGAACATATTCACCACCCCAGAAAGAACTGTACCCATTAGTAGTTCCTCCTTATTCCTCCTCAAAACTCCCCACCAACCCCATCCCTAGGCAACCACTAATCTACCTTCTATTTCTATGGACTTGTGTATTCTGGCCATTTTATATAAATGCAATCATAAAATATGGGGCCTTTCATGTCTGGCTTCTTTCACTTAGCATAATGTTTTCAAGTTTTATCCATGTTGTAGCATGTATTAATAATCCATTCCTTTTTATGGCTGACTAATATATTCCAGTTTGGATATACCACATTTTATTTATCTAGTTATCAGCTGATGGACATTTGGGTTGTCTTACTTTCTGGCTACCTGTGTATCCTTCTATACCTCTTGGATTTTGAACCATGTGAAAGTATTAATATGATTTATTCAAAATAAATATACAAGTTTAAAAAATCACCACAAGGTCACCTCCTTTCAGGAGCCTTCGCATCACTCTTGGCACACTGCCCTGTCTGACATGCTGCTTATTTTGTCTGCCTCCTTCCACCAGGACTTGAGTTCCACTAGAGCAGGGACTGTGCCTGGCTTGTTCACCATTGTACCCCTGTGCACAGAACTGTGTCAGGCAGAGGACAGGGGCTCAATAAATATTTTTTTGAGTTAACAATACTATTTTTATCCTAATTCTACTGGAGAGGAAACATAAGTAGGGAGGCTGATACCGGTTCAAAGTCATAGAGATGGAGCTAAGATCTAATCTGCATTCTTTAGCAGTACATCCTTGACCCACACCTTGGGCCTAAATGGGTCTAGGTGGGGCCTTGGCGTCTGTGCTTTTAAAAAGCTCCACTGGTGATTCTGATGCAGGGTGAGGGGTGAAAATTTCCTACTCTAGGTGAGAGAATGAGAAAATGAAGAACCTTGGTTGTCATCTAAGAATTACTTAAAAATTAAGAAGCGATGAAATTATTATGGCAGGATGCATGGCAACTAAGGCGCCGGGGGAAGCACAGGCTGGAGGAACGTGGCTATGGGTTGCGGAGGACGCTTACTTGGAGGTCCTCCTCGGACAGGAGGATGATGCTGGACAGGTCTTCTTTCAGCTGCCTGGCCACATTCTTCCACTTCAACCCTGCCCCGCTGTCTGTTTCATCTCCGTCAAAGGACTCTTGGGTAATCCAAGCCGTACCTCCATCTGATACATGGGAGAAAATGCCGGTCAGATCCAGATTAACCGTTAGTGCTGTTTTCACTTCCTCCAACTCAGGCCTCGAGGATGTTGGCACATCCTTCTGACAGATCACTTAGAATAATTTAGATGGTGAAGGAAGCACCTTCTCTCAGGGATTCATGGGGAAGCCAATCCCCATCTAGGACCTTAATTTTCCCTCTTGTCCCATCTTCCATTTCTTTTTTATTTTTATTTTTTGACTGCAGCATGCGGGGATCTTTGGCATGAGTTGGCATGAGGGATCATTCGCTGCGGTGTGTGGGCTTCTCTCTAGTTGTGGTGCGTGGGCTCCAGAGCACATGGGCTCTGTAGTTTGTGGCATGCGGGCTCTCTAGTTGTGGCGTGTGGGCTCTCTAGTTGTGGTGTGCAGGCTCAGTAGCTGTGGCGCGAGGGCTTAGTTGCCCCGTGGCATATGGGATCTTACTTCCCTGACCAGGGATCAAACCCACATCCCCTTCATTGGAAGGTGGATTTTTTTTACCAGTGGACCACCGGGGAAGTCCCCATCTTCCATTTATTTCTGTGTGAAACTGCTCTGTATTCTTTTATGGAAGGAAGCCACTTAAATTCAATGTATGCTTATGCATACCCAGGATAATGTCACACTTCCCTTTAGGTTAGTTTTTTTTTTTTTTTTTTTTTTTTTTTGCAGTACGCGGGCCTCTCACTGTTGTGGCCTCTCCCGTCGCAGAGCACAGGCTCCGGACGCGGAGGCCCAGCGGCCATGGCCCACGGGCCAAGCTGCTCTGCGGTATGTGGGATCCTTCCGGACCGGGGCACGAACCCACGTCCCCCGCATCGGCAGGCGGACTCAACCACTGCGCCACCAGGGAAGCCCTAGGCTAGTTTTTGTGTCTGTGGGTGTGTTCTATCTCTGTATGCAAAAACATTCATCCTCATCAGCACTTCTCCTGTGCTTGGGGATGGGTCTTATCCTTGACTGGAGGAGCTGCAGCCACTGTTCGCTGTCCCTTGGGCCCAAGTACAAAGGTGGCTGGGAAAGCCATTGCTGAAGGGTGACTTCCTCACTTTAGTGGCCTAGGGACTTTCCTCAAGACACTTCTTTACCTCTTTGATCCTTGCCCGTCAATATTAGTTCCCCTTGTATTTCCAGTGAGGATGATGCTAATGATGGTGATAGGTAATATTTATTTGTCTTACTGTGTACCAGGTAAGATCTAAATGCTTTCTATCAGTGGCTCTCAACTGGGAGTGATTTTGCCCATCCCATCCCCAGTAGACATATGACAATGTCTAGAGGCATTTTTGGTTGTCACAATTAGGGTGAGGAGATGCTACTGACACCTAGCAGGTAAAGGCCAGCGATGCTGCTAAACATCCTGCAAGACACAGGACAGCAACCCCACAACAAAGAATTCTCCGGCCCAAAATGTCAGTAGTACTGTTGAGAAACCCTGGCTTGATATGTACTATGTTCTAGTATCCTTACAACAATGCTAGGAGACAGGTACTGTAATTATTATCTCAATACGGGGCTGAAATGTTAGATAATTTGCTCAAGGTCACATGGCTAGTAAATGGCAGAGCCAGGATTCAGACCAGACAGTCTGACCCAACCTGCGGCACAGATCTCTCTCCCTTGCTGCGTTTTAGTTGCTGTCGATCTGTAAGTTATTTGAGAACTGAGTCCATCTCATTCATCTTCATCCCCAGACTCAGCACCACTCTGGTATACAGAAGATGCTCAGTAAATGTTTGCTGCATAAATGCTTAAAACAGCCAGCCAAACAGCAACCAGGTGCCTATGCAGTAAAATAAATCATGATGGATGGTATATTGTATATACGGCCAGCATTTCTTTTTTGTTTTGTTTTGTTTTTTGTTGTTTTTTGCGGTACGCGGGCCTCTCACCGCCGCGGCCTCTCCCGCCGCGAAGCACAGGCTCCGGACGCGCAGGCCCAGCGGCCACGGCCCACGGGCCCAGCCCCTCCGCGGCACGCGGGATCCTCCCGGACCGGGGCACGAACCCGCGCCCCCCGCATCGGCAGGCGGACCCCCAACCACTGCGCCACCAGGGAAGCCCCGGCCAGCATTTCTTACCTGAATTGTTGTAAGCCCACTTCTCATTCCCAGCCAGTGCCACAAACTTAGTATTGGCAGGAAGACACAGGAAGTAATCGTCATCATCCACTATGGTGCCATCCTCTGCCAGGACCAGGGTGACTGGTGCCAGGGACTTGTCAATGGCCAGAATGTCGCAAGCTGAGAGGAATAAAATATTTGGTAATTGACAAGTATCCATAGGGAAATTACATCTGTCCTTGCACTCTCAATATGTATGCCCCGGGACTTCCCTGGTGGCGCAGTGGTTAAGAATCTGTCTGCCAATGCATGGGACACAGGTTTGAGCCCTGGTCCGAGAAGATTCCACATGCCACGGAGCAACTAAGCCCATGTGCCACAACTACTGAGCCTGTGCTCTAGAGCCCACGAGCCACAACTGCTGAGCCTGTGTGCCGCAACTACTGAAGCCCGCACGCCTAGACCCTGTGCTCCGCAACAAGAGAAGCCACTGCAATGAGAAGCCCGCGCACCGCAGTGAAGAGTAGCCCCCGCTTGCCTCAACTAGAGAAAGCCCCCACGCAGCAACGAAGACCCAGGGCAGCCAAAAATAAATTAAAAAAAAAAAAGTATGCCCCCAGAGCCTAGAAAAATCCCTGGTAGTAATAACTATAATAACTATAATGATGACCACTAGTACTAATATAACACTTACCATGTCCCTGGTACTGTACTAAGTGCTTTTCACATACAGCATTTAATTTCCTAAAAATCCTATAACGCAGATACTATTGTTACTCCTATTTTTACGGATGTCAAGCCCAAGGCTCAGAGAAGTTAAGTAAGTTGCCCAAGGTCACACAGTAAGTGGCAGAGCTGGCATTTCAACCCACACAGTCTGGCTCTTGAAAATGTGTTTTTCTTCCAGCTACTCTACACCCACATTAGGAGGCACTTGAGCCTTTACTTGGATGAACAACAAACCAAAGTCTGATCTGATTCCTTGAGAACAGGCAGTCTTTCATTCATTTCCTCAGTGGTCTACTCAAATTCTCCCATGTGTCAAATGTCACAAAGAAAAAAGAGAAAAGGAAAAGAAGAAAATTATAAAAAAGAAAAGAAAAAAAATGACTTTATGTTCTCACAGTATCTTTCTTGGCAGCCTTACTAACCTATAGAAAAGTATAAGAGAAGCAGAAGGCAGAAGTTTGTAACAGTAGCTTTTCATCTTTATGATCACTGGGCAAGAGGTTTTGTCCAGGGCAGGTCTGCACCATCCCATTTAGTAATGGCAATGCCTAAAATGCTAATGGGACTAGAGTAGGCAGAGTAATAGCCAAAAGACTACAAAGATCATTGGGCAATGCTGTCTTCCACCCAAATAGAACAGCAAGTCTTGTATAGGCCGAGCTCCAGAAACACAAGCACTTACATAAGCCTCTGTGCCAAATGCATCCAGCCACCACACTGATGGGTCACTAAAACTTAAGCAACTTCATGCCAAGCAAAAAATATGTAAACACTTATATGGCAAAAGCCATGACACTAAAGCATTTAGAGTGCTTTGGCTGTTCCTGCATCTCTGAAAGACATCTGTCTGATATCTGTTGGGCTTGGTGACCCTGGGAGGAAGCCCTGAACACGCTGACACACACGTCCACTACATGCCCGGGGATGACACACACGTTTAACCAATAGAACTTCTCTGGGTAAGCAATTTACTGCTACAGGCCAGCAACGTGTAAGTCATTTGAATATATCATCTCCTTCCAGAGTCCCAATCCTGTGGAGCAGGGCTGGAAATACACCCACTTTGCTGATGAGAAAACTGGGTATGGAGAGATGGTTAAGTGCAAGGTCAGGCAGCTAGTAACGGTATGCGGCTCAGAATTTCTGTCAACTCGGTCACTCACAACAGACGTTCCTTGTCTGGCCCTCCCGGATGGTCGGTAACAGCTCCCTCTTTACCGCACAGGTACCTGCCAGAGCTGACTGTGGAAACCCGCTCCCACCCCGCCGTAGGCTCAGCTGGGGGACCCAGTACAACCTTAGGGAGCCTGAGTGGCAGGAATACACTGGACTGAGTTCGATCCAAAATCTGAGTCATCTGAGGCGAGGCACCGAAGTAGAGTCTGTCTTAATTCGCATATTGCTTCCCGTCTGCCTCTCCACCATATGAATCTCACACAAGATAAATTAAGTTAAAGCGCCTGTAAACGCTATGAAACTGCTAAGTCGCCATACCCACCTGAGTCATCTCTGTTCCAAGGCTCCACTAGAGCGACAAGAAGCCGCAAGTCGCCTCTCCTGACCCCGCCCTGCCCCACCGGACATCCCCACCTCTCCCCGGGTCCCTTCAGCCCGGGCCCCGGCCCCCCAAGTCCTCGCCCCCGTCCCCCCAAGTCCTCGCCCCCGTCCCGTGCCAACCCTTTCTCCTCAGCTCCTCGAGGCAGGAGGCCGCCACGCCGTGCTGTTCCCGGCTGTGGTTGCGGCAGAGGAGACACTGCTTTAGAGCCCGGATCTCGCTGGGTTCTGGAACGCTGGGTCCCCCGGCCACCTCCGTCATCTTCAGCGTCTGACCTGACCAACGCGGGGACGTCAGCGGGGCTGGGCGCGGGAGTCCTACCCAACTCCACCCCCCGCAGCATGCCGGGAGATGTAGTTCTCGCTGTAGCAAATCACGCGTGGGACCAAGGCACGCCGGGATATGGTAGTTCTAGTTGCGCCTAATCCCCTGCGGCCCCGGGGGCATGCCGGGAGCTGTAGTCTATGGGTTCAAAGCCGACTTAGGTCGCGCAATCCAGACCCCAGAGGTGGTTTTTTTTTTCTGCCTTATATTGAGTTGCATTCGCGCGTTCAAAATGAGGTCAATAGGGATTTATTTTGTATTATGAAGGACACGCCTGTATACTCCTTTGAATTGTTACAGCACTCCTTTCTGTATATATAGATAGATGCAAGATATTAATACATAAAGCAATGTCATTGTACTGTGTTCATTTGTTTTTCCTTTCCAACCTGAACAAATCTATAAAATGTCCCAAACTTCACGCTGATCTGAAGGAAGTCAGTTTTAAAAATTGATGAGTGTAGCTTTCAGTCTGGCTGAAAACATAACAGAGAAGCATAAGGTACTCGCACATTTCCACTCTTTCTTTTTTTTTTTTAACACTAAAGAGGCTTTTAATTATGTAGTATTATCTATAAGTACAAAGACTTTCCCAATCACGTCACTTAGAGATAATTTTATCCACTGCTCTGTTTGGCTGCCAGTCTCTTGTCTCTCTCCTCAGCAATGGTAAGGCGGATACCCTTTCCACGAGGAAGAGAGATCCATGGTTTGTTGCCTTTGTCAATAACAAAAATGTTGGAGAGCCGTGTGGCAAAGCTATTGCCGTTGGCATCTTTCACATGAAATGCATCAAAAGAACCAGGATGTCTCTCCCGGTTAGTGATCACACCAATTCTTCCCAGGTTAGCACCTCCAGTCACCATGCACAGGTTACCAGTGTCAAATTTGATGAAATCAGTAATCTTGCCAGTCTCCAAATCAATCTGAATGGTGTCATTCACCTTGATGAGGGTATCAGAGTAGCGGATGGTGCGAGCATCATGGGTCACCAGATGAGGGATTCCTTTTGTCCCCATAAAGATCTTTCTCACTTTACATAACTTATACTTGGTCTCCTCAGGTGTAATACGATGAACAGCAAAGCGACGCTTGGTGTCATAGATCAGACGAAAATTCTCTCCAGTCTTGTCAATGCTGATGACATCCATAAAACCAGCAGGGTAGGTTATATCAGTGCGGACCTTGACATCAATCTTAACGAAACGCTGCATGCAGATCTTATTTACTTCATCTCCTGTTAGGGCATATTTAAGTCTGTTCCTTAGGAAAATAATTAGAGGGAGACGACATTCCCTCAGCTTGTGGGGACCGGTAGATGGACGAGGAGCAAACACACCAGTCAGTTTATCCAGCATCCAATGCTTTGGAGCTGCTACGCGCTTCAGGTGCTTCTTGGGACCACAAGCCATGGCTGCGCTAGGCACGGAAATGGCTCCACTCTTTCGATTCCCTGCTTCAGCTCTGCAAATTGGGTTGGGACCTCGGAACGAAATGCTTAAATAACTAGATTAAACATTAAGGTCTCAAAGAAACCAGAGAGAAAAGGGTAAATGCGAACCACATCACTGTTGAGATTGTTCAGATGCTGCTTGACAATGTATTTGTCTTTGTTCTAATACTGTTACTTATGGAAAAGTCTGTGTTTTTCACTCCTGAAAAACGAACATTTAAGATTAAAGTAATAATTTAAAAATTATCAGAAAGTTTCCTTGCTTAAAAAGGGGCATTCTCCGCGCACCGCGATGAAGAGTGGCCCCCACTTGCCGCAACTAGAGAAAGCCCTCGCGCAGAAACGAAGACACAACACAGCCATAAATAAATAAAATTTAAAAAGGGGGGGGCATTCTATATAAACAAGGAATAATTATCAGCCCGTATTCATTCAGGGTCAATCTCTTTCATATTTTGTTTATTAAAGGAAATCAGATATTATGAGAAAAAGACATGTAAAATTGTTTGGTAGGAGGAATTGTTAACTGAGGCAACCCTTTTGAATACACCATCATTGATCAAAAAACAACTGCAATGTAACTGACTGATAGTTCTAATGTATGCAACCCTTTCGTATAATTTCACAACTAGCTTAAAATCTAACAACTCAACCGCTATAAAGTGAAAACGGTTCATAGAAGCCTCTCCTCTCCAAAAAGCCCCCTCTTCTGAGTTCTCCTAATAGACCTGCAAACCGTTATCAGACTCCTAGCTCCAAGATGTAATTGTGTGTGTGTGTGTGTGTGTGTGTGTGTGTGTGTGTGTGTGTGTCTATTTGGCCTAGACTTGAGAGCAGGGGTTGAGTCTTGGATCTTTTTATTTCTCGCGGCTACCAAAGTGCCTGGCAAATGTTAGGCACCCGACTGAACCATCAGTTAATTAATTAATTAATTTCCAGGTTTCTTCACATTCATTCATTTATTAAATACTTAGGGTGTCCCTACATGTGCCCAAGGCACTGTGAAGATGGGCAGAGGTTTAATTCAATAAGTATAATATACATATAAGAAAGCAAAAAGGACAGGCATCGTTCTTGCTGGAAAGCAGAGACCTAATGGGAACAGTAAGCGGTGTGGGGGACGTGGGAGCTCCCCTCTTCCCCGGGCGTCCCCCATCGACAGCTCAGTTCCGGCTACTTTAGTCTGGGCGAGAGAGCGAGAGCGAGGGCGCTTGGGAGAAGCCTCGCCCAGCGGCGATAGACTAGTCAGGCCTCAGAAAGATGGCGTTTTCGGAGCAGGCAGAGCAGCCGAGCCAGGTAAGGGGAGTGGGACTGCCCCGCCGTACTGGCGGGGGGCCCCCGCGGGGG